CTTAACTATTTCACATGTAATGAATCCAAAAGAAGTCATTTTTCTCAAAAACCAAGCATTTCCTTTAAAAATATACATTTTTTCTGTAGAATAAACCGCAATGTAAAAAAATATATTCATTTTTAAAAATTTCCAGTGGCATAGAAATTATATTAAAAATAAGGACAATCAGAGCCCCTTACGGACGCCTATGATTGATCTATTTTCACAATAGCTGTAAAATCGATGGAGCGTTTAATTTGTACACTTCATACTAGATATAAAACAAATGGCTTTCATAATTTCAGAAAAAATAAATAAAAACCAAACAAAATTTTTTTTTCAAGATCTTATATCTTTAAAAGGAAGCCTGTGGAAGAAACGGTGTAAACTTCAAATTATTATTATTTTGACGAGATCTATCGATGGTTGAAGTGCTAATCATAAAAAATGAATCACTCTGTGATATTTGTAGTTATTTATTTCCTCTTAAGAAAGGCCTATTTTTCAAAATTCCTTCTTTCCGCATGATATGAAATAAAAGATAAAGTTAGATTTCAGTAGATATAATTAAATATTATATAAAAACATTTGTATTTTATTAACATTTATTTATAGATCAAATATTTTTTTAATTTTCAAAGCAATTAAAAATATACACTTTTGTTAAATGTGTATTTTGTCATATTTTGAATAAGGACAACTTCAAATCAGAAAAACGTGTACTACAAGCAGTCTGTCTTCTGGATTTCTTCATCTTGAACTATCCCCATCTGTTGTTCAAAGACGAAATTAGTTTGTAATGTTAATAACAGTTCAGCCGTTGTGTGGCGACACTGCTCAGCTGTATTCTTATGCACATATGGTACTTATGCCAGCTTATTTATATTTTGAACACTTTTACCCATAGTTCCATTCATTACTATGTGCTTTTTCAACATAAATATGCTGAACCAGTAAACTTTGAGTTAAAGAATTCTTCAGTTGCTCCAAAACAACATAGTCCACTACAACAGTTACAGGGCCATCTATTTGCAGCAAAGATTACTGGTATATATAATCAGATTTCTACAGTTTCTCTTATTTCTCAACAATGGAAGTTTTGAGATATATGTGTAGATTGATCCACTTGTACCACAAATTAGCAAAATGTATAATAACACTAACCTTGTGTAATGATAAGTGCTTGCATTTTTAAACAAATATCAAAGAAACTATGTATGGTATACGCAACACGATATATAAACAGTAATTATTAAATATATTAAATTAACTGAAATTTGCAGATACTGCACGTGAAGGCGCAAATTTTTAAATAACAAATATAGACTGGGCCTTATTTTCCATTTTTCAGTAAGATATGAATCTGGAAATTCAGAAGGCTATTAGATAGTTAATTAGAGTATTAGAATGATAAAACCTTACCATCCCCTGACTATAAAAACGTGTTTTTTCATAGAATAAAATCTACAGATTGATATTTGTTATACACATCTCAAAACATTTCATTGATGTTTCAAAATAAAATACAAACTATTCGCTCGTTTGCCACCAATATGGTGAACTTGATATCTATTACAATATACGCTGAAACAGTCAATAATAGGATTCCTAGAAAAAAAGGAATGTCAGTGTCTACACAATTGTATACGTAATGGTTATTTGCGAATTGTTAACAAGCAAAACGTTTAAAGCTAAACTTAAAATGCGTATCATTGTTTTATCATTGATTGATTTATCACCTTGATTTATTTACTCTTCACGTATTTATAAATACCCTGTATAATTCGCAAATTGTCAATTAGTGCAATTTAAAAACATCGAGAATTAGTCTAAATTCATACACTAATCTTAAAGTTAACAAAATGGTACCATCTCCGCAGATCCAAATGGAAATTGTTAGCAAGTGAAAAGCAAATACAATTGTGTGTTCATTATTTATCGTACCATTATTACGATATGCGACTGTTGACACGAGCCTATTGTAGAGATATTATTAGCAGAGGTTAAATTAATATTTTTTATGTATTTGTAGAGAATTATTTAATTGTTGGGGTGCTAACACAATCTGTAATGGATATAAAAAAATTATTCAGTATTGGAAAATCTAAAATATGTACGTGTACATTAGATTCTTGTTAAACATATACAAGGTCATCGGTAGAGTGGTTTAATCTCTCAAAAATTGTTATAAATAAATTGTTGCTAGTTGGTTAAACTACTATCTGCTTCCCAAAAACAATATACCTTCTCCACAGTTATAAAACATGTTTTCTGTATCCACTTCAGTGTTTTTTATCACTTTCCTTTCATTTTATGTTCTAGGAAGCCTTGACTTGCTGACAATTTTCTTTCTATAAATCTGGTTTTGAAAAGAAGATAATTTGATATTTAGATAGGTACATCAGGATTGTCCACACATTTTAGTTTACAGTAAAATAGTATTAATTAATGACATAAATTAGTAAATCAAAATATGGAAAATAAACGGAAAGGGGAAAAAACGATACCAAAAGTAACGACAATCGCCTAATTTTCTGTTCCAAAATCCCAGTACAAATAAATTGCTTTAGACAACATTGTTTTCGTTTTTCAGACTTACCATCGCTTTATGAAACCAATAATTTTATCTCTGTTTGACTAAAACTCATCAAAAATAACCCTCAACAACCAAAATGCAATAAATAATCTATTAATATCGACAGAATTATATTTTCAATCCAATAACACCTAATAACGAAAAGCACATTTATTTGGAATCTGTTTACAATCCACCTGATAACGCAGGTATGGGCTGAAGAGCGGTGCACGTGATTGTAACGTGTTCATTTTATTAAGCCATGCTCCCATTTTCGGCCATATTAGAAGCTCACCAAAGTACAGTAATGGAAAAACACTATTACTGAATGATTTTTCACTTTTCTAGAAAACTGTTTAACTCTTATTCCTAGCTGCAAATAATTTGGATAAAAGTCAGGAAGATATTCTAGCCACGATAGACTAATTAATATATTTTTGCATTTTAAGAAAGCCATTTGTCACGGGACTCTTTTATGTAATTCCATAATTATTCCTGTGGGCCTTTTTTCGATTGCTTGAGCATTTTCAATGAGTTTTAAACCAAAATTTGACTTTTGACATGATGAAAACTACTGGTTCTGAACTGTGAATTCTAATAAATACAGTGCTTTATTTATTTTTCCTAATAGGCTATTGATTATATCCATAAAAACAGGGACTATGACATTCAAGCAATTTTATTGCATGATTCGTTCAAAGGGTCATTTTAGATGAAAAAACCGCGGAATGCTATTAAATTAGAGGGAGGAAATTGGAGGTACGGGTGAAAATGCACCCGTTTCAGTTTTTTAATTGTAGCTCGAAAACGAAGCAAAATTTCGCTATAGTTCATAGGAAAAATTATTTATTTCAAAAATTGAAATTTTTATTTTAAAATTTGTATTAGAACATTATTTGAGGTTATAAACAGATTTGTTTAATAAAAATGATAAATAATGGTATTTCTCTCTTGAGTATTTTCTTGTTTTTTAAATTTATGAGCACCCTGTGTATCTATTCTAAGACGTTTGTATGACAATCTCATTCGAGGGTCAAAACTTTTTATAAAGAGTAACATTTTTCGATAAAGTCAAAAACAAAAGAGTTTCTCCTTTTGTTAACTACATCCGTGGACACACTGTATATACAATATTAATAAACTTTATTGTACTTAAATTTTCAAGTTTTTACTAAATTATTTTATTAAAAAAGTAAAAAAATCAAAAAATCTTATTTTTTGCTTTCTTTAAAATTGTTTAGGTTATTAACGATTTTTTACATAAAATTTTTCTTTTACATTTTTTAAATAAGCCATTTCGATGAGAAATTCAATTTTCTACAAAATTTTTCCTATGAACTATACCGAAATTTTGCTTCGTTTTCGTGCTATATTTAAAAAACTGCAAAAGTGCTTTTTCACCCTTATCTTCAATTTCAACCCTCTAATTTAATAGCACCCCGTGATTTTTTCATTTTTAATGACCCTTCGAACAAGTCATGCGATGAAAATCATTGAACGTCTTATTTCCTTCCTTTTTTGCAAAAAATGAGAATTAAAATGTATAAACGCAACGAAAATCGAAAATTTGGCTAAGTTTGAGCGGCCATATATCAGTCAATTTTCATCCTAAAATACTTTACAACCCCTTATTTTCGCTGGGAAATTCAATTTTCTAAATAATTTTTCCTGTGAATTATAGCGAAATTTTGCTTCGTTTTCGAGCTACAATTAAAAAACTGAAAGGGGTACATTTTCACCCCTATCTCCAATTTCCACCTAATTTAATAGCACTCAGCAGTTCTTTCATCTAAAATGACCCATAGTTTCTTTTAAAATCCTGTATTCAATAGCCTATAACAGGGGTCGGCAAGTAATTTTATTATTATAATATAATTATTTTTTTATTTTAATTTGGACTCAAATTTAATCTGCTTACTAACCATTAAGAACTCACACACTCACACCATTGTAAAATACTAAAAAAATGATAAGATTGGCACTTAAATGTAAAAAAACATTTTTTAAATAATTTATTTGAGTAATTTATACTTTCAAAAAATTTTGGCGGTCCAGTATTTTACCTTCCGCGGTCCGGACCTGGACCGCGGTCCGCCAGTTGCCGACCCTTGGCCTATAAGAAAGATGTAAAAAGGAAGTGCTATAAGTGTACCCGAAATGATTTAATTTTCATCAGTACGCACTGCTGCTGAAACGACTATTATCGACATGAAAAACGAAACGAACAGGGCCTAGGGCCGAACCTTGCGGCACTCCCAAACCTACAATCCTATTTTTAACATCCCAATCCCTAAAACCTATCGATCCGCTATTCCACACAATAAACCGGAGCACAATTTCTATTTTGGAGATACGAAAATAAACCGAAGGTCAACCGGCACAATTTGTTATTAAATAAATTGCTGTTTGTGATATCGCCATAAAAGTATTTAGCGTTTGGTGTAGGTAGCGTCTATGGGGTATCCACAATCGGAAGGACCAGCGGCACACACAGGGCGGTAAAAATAAACCAATACGCCCGGCCATCTACGAACAGTGATAAGATTACAGTGATAATACTGCTCGGTAATGAGGATGGCAAGGTCGGTGGGGACTGCTGAATTAGATGGAATTAAGTCCGCTAGATTAATGCACGTTCGCCAAATAGTTGTAGCGGACGCTTTGGCAGCGTTTTATTTTGAATAAGTGTCCACTTAACAAGTAAAGTACGTTTATAAATAACCTTCTTGTGTGAGTGTTTTTTTAAAAGTTATGATGACTTGTGTTTTACGTGAGTTTTGTGGCAGATGATTAACAAAGGTAAGAATTAAATTCTTCTATTATTTCTATAATATCAGGAAATGCGGTGAATGTTTTTCTTTAGTTACACTGGGAGACATTTTTTTGTCATGCTCGGTTAAAATTTCGGAAAATGTCAATGATAATATTGCACAATGATTAAATGAAAAATTGTAATGTGTTTGATTCCCCAATAATTCTTTACTAGCAGGTGCTTCATTGTTTGAAATGTCTACTTAAACGTTAATTGCCTTAGAAATTATATTGTATTAAGACCAAGAGCTGTTTTCTTTGAAATTCAGTTCCAGAAAGTAGCAAAAATATTCATTCTCATTATTATAGTAAAAGCCTGCGCATTGAAAATATATTAAATATTAAGGAAGGAAAAATATACACTTCATTGATGAAAAATTCAATTATTCCACAATTGTTTTGCCCTAAAACTTATTAAAACAGTTAATTCCTGAAACGAATAAAACATTCGTCAGAAATATTCAACAATAATATTTCCCAACTCATTGTTTACCAAGATTTTTTTTCTGGCAAAGCAGACATTTGAAGTTGAATATTTATTTTTGTTGGGTACCTACCTGACCACCGCTTATTGTGTGTCTATAAATAGCTTTGTGGTTTGTCGTTTCTCAAAGATTAATTACAATAATAACTTGTATTTGTCTGCAAATTCTTTTTATGACCGCTAGGAGGAAAGTTACAAAATTATAAGCGGTTTTTATACAGATTTTGGACCAAAAATAAGTCGAAGGTCGACGGTGGGTATGAGATTTTTAAAATTACGTGTGATGCGATTCTTAAAATACATTTTTGAACAGTAATTTTTTCAAAATATCCAAGCCGCCGCAAAGTGATTCATGGATATTCCAGATTTTCAAATTGGATATGGTAACCAGATCTGTGTAAAGAGAGCGGTTCTTCTCAAAGCGTTGCAGTGTTGCCAAGACTAGCAATTTTATACTGCATCTAGTGATTTTTAGAAGATTCTATTCAAGTTGAACTTCCTGGATTTCTTTAAAATATGATGGAGCTTCGTCCTTATATATTGCCCTCCTTTATCTTCTCTATTCTATTCCACTTAAGTCGTTTATCTGCTTTATCAACAATGTTTCTATAATGAGCATTTTAGGAAACACAATGGTACAAGAAACGTAAAGATTCTTCTGAATAAACTTCCCTTCTTATCGTAGATTTATGTGGGAGGTCAGTGACCTAATGACCTTATATAGAAACTCCAAGGGAAGGAGCACGTTTTGTTTCCAATATGCCATTTCTACAAATCTCGTAACACCCATTTAGACCAGGGTTTATCTGTGGAAATATCCCACTTATTGGACGTAAGAGGGGGCATGCTAATTTTTGCTGGAATACCTTCAATACAACTCACATAATAGATAGATAGATAGAACTTTATTGATATTTATGTACATTAAGTGGTACATTTAAACAATGATTTAAAAGAAATGATTTCGTAAACCTGTGAAAGGTGAAATAAAAGTGTAGATCCTTGGGTCCGGAACATTTTCAAAATTGCAAAAATGTTTAAAAAATTAAAAAAAATCCTATTTTATCTGAATTTTTACTTATATCTTGGAACCTATGCATTTTGGAAGAATAGTGAAGAGGAAAAAAAGTTTTAGAATTGAATTTTGCACTGGAAGTTAAGAACGTTTAAATTTATTACCGATGTTTCAAAATAGCAATAATTGATGAAAAAAGGCAAAATAATCAAGTTCTTTGGATAATTGTTTTTAAATATTTTAATTACTCCGAGGGCATTCTAATTTTTGTAAAAAAAACTTTACAGTATAATAAAACAACACACCAAATTTCATTAAATTCGATTCGACAGTTTTTGCATAATAATTTTTTGAACAAAATTTTGAAAAAATATTTTCGAATTTTTAAAATGTTGCACCGCCTCAAATAAAGCATTTAGATAATTGAAAATTTTTTCACATAGAAAAGACCGTTCAACCTTTCAATTGGTTTTTGAAACATTGAAATCGGTTGATTAGGACGTCCACAGTAAACTTCTATTTTTTTTTATTTTTAAACAATTAGATTACATTTATCAATTTGCAATTTAGTTTTTTTCAAAAATTATAATTTTAAAGTACTCGGAAAGACGCTTCTTTTTTAAAAAAAGTTAAATTCCGTTTATTGGTTCTCGAGATATAAGCGGTAAAAGTTTATCGGCATTTACCGTTAATTTATAAACAATTTAGCAATAATCTTTAATCCAGTGGCTTCGGTTTTCCGAGTTCTAATCTGGAAAAAAATTTCATATCCATAAGTTATCGGCAACATAGATAAATCTGAGGAAAAGCTGTCGCTCGCACGCGCGAAAAGTGACTCAAAACACGAAAGGTGAGGGAGGGGGCTTCGAGATAGAATTCGGAGGTTCAAAATGCGAAAAATTGCATTATCTCGGGTTTTAATGGACCAATTTCGATCTTTTTTATTTAATCCGATGTCTCGCGAGCCAAGGAATTCAAATGTCATAATACCAACTGTCTAATTTGCACATATTTTGTTATAAACAAAGTTTATTATTTATGCATTAAATAGACTGTATATTTTACCCTATGCTATTGCATTTTTTCAATGAAATTTTTTTTTACTTATATATTTCAACACTTTGAATATAAATGTATTTAGTTATAATTATTACAATTATTTAAATAATATTTGTTTAAACAAATAAAAAAAATTATTTGGAAATTTATTGTTTTGTTAAATACAGATAAAATTAAGAAAAAATAGTACTTTAAAATTATAATTTTTGAAAAAAACTAAATTGCAAATTGATAAATGTAATCTAAAAGTGTTAACTTTAAAAATTTACTGTGGTCGTCCTAATCAACCAATTTCAATTTTTCAAAAACAATTTGAAAGGTTGAGCGGTCTTTTCTATGTGAAAAAATTTTCAAGTATCTAGATGCTTTATTTGAGGCTGTGTAACATTTTGAAAATTCGAAAATTTTTTTTCAAAATTTTTTTCAAAAACTTATTTTGCGAAAACTATCGAACCGATTTTAATGAAATTTGGTGTGTTGTTTTATTATACTCTAAAGTTTCTTTTATCAAAATTAGAATGCACTCGGAGCAATTAAAATATTTTAAAAAAATTATCCAAAAAACTTGATTAATTTGCCTTTTTCATCAATTAATGCTGTTTACAACAATAAATTTAAACATTTTTAACGTACAGTATATTGTGCAAAATTCAATTCTAAAACTTTTTTCCTCGTCAATATTCTTCCAAAATGCATAGGTTCCAAGATATAAGTGTAGTATATACAGTCACTTCTTATTTGTGGAAGGGCGAAATGGGCGGTGACTATTAGACGTCTTCATTATAGCCAACTTTCTCTATCGCATGGATTTCTATGACTTACTTTATCACTCTCACGTAAGGGCTGATGAACCATGGGGACTTTCCGACCCTGTATAAGTAAGATCGATTTTAATGAAATTTGGTGTGTTGTTTTATTATACTCTAAAGTTTACTTTTATTATGTGAGTTGTACTGAAGGTAATCCAGAAAAAAATAGCTTGCCCCCTCTCACATCCACCTTAAAACAGATCCGCCCTGGTCTATTATATTGTCGTAAATATCAATAGAGTTTCCTGAAAGTCCAAATTGTTCAATATCAGCAACGTTATAAATACTTGTATAATTTTTTTTAATTATGTCCCATCCAAACCACATTTTTATTGCACGTTCATAAAAAATATTTCTAATTCGAGCTAATTCAATTACAGTGTTCCAATTAATGCGAATTGAGTGACAGGTGCCTCTGGTAACGCTCACATCCAAGCTATATTATTTTTACGCTCCTCCCGATGGACTTATCTAATCCGAAACGTCTGTACGGGCTTTCATTGTATTCCACTCTAGCCCTAAGTGGACCATCCGGCACAAAGATGATAACAGTGCGGCCAATGCTGGTAAAGTAGGTTATTGACTGGCGTATTTCCTTCTTTTGTTTTTTTGCAGCGCAAAAATATAACGTAGGTACAATTAATTTCCTCCGATTTTTAATAATGATGAGTGACATAAACACCAATAAGGTCTCCCATTTTGATAACTACTAAATTTAGATGGCTGTGGATTTCGTAAACGTGTATCTTTTGTTTCTGTATTTGACGTATAGTAGTTGGCTTTGAGTTTATTGAAAGGTATGAGGAACAACGGTATAAAAAAGTTGAAAATTTTATCAGTACGTACCAACACTTCGGTTTTTGGCACAAATTACTCTTTTGTAATGCCTTAAATCTCTAAAATCCGTACGAATTCGTGGATTTACAAACGTTCAGATAAGAATTGCTCTGTAATTGATTAATTTTCTCACGCAGCAAGAAAGCTTAACAAAACTATGATCACAGGTTGACATGTTTTTCTTAAATTTTACAGCAATAGCTGACAATATTAATATTATTAAAAAATGTAATCATTTTATCACTGCTTAATATGTTTATCAATATTTATAACGCAAAATAGCATGTGATTTAGGTGTGCAACTGACATATTTGCCATTTTTGATACATAATTTCTTACGACTCAACAATTATGAAGTAGATAAAAATTAAAATAATATTTGGAGTACTTAGTGATTTGTGACGGTACGATTTAGTTGTTATAAATTTAAGACCATAGCCAATAAAATCATATAGAAGAAGTAGGAAATGGACAATTAATATTTTGCTTAAAAAAATTGTTGATAACATACGGTTCACAACTTTCAGTATCAGTTAGTAGCGGCAGCAAAAACTTTCAAAGGGATTTGAAAAGTGAAACTGAAAGAACATTGCCTCTGATATATTCCTACTTTTCCTTTGCCATGGCAAATATTCAAGCTAAAAATAAAGAGATTCAACAAAAACTCTCGCTAAGTCTTATTAAATATCAAGTGTAATCTTTTCAGCAAGGTACGTTTTTTTATCCGCAAGATTAAATCTTCGCGACCAAAAATAAACTGAAAACGTATACAATCTAAGCTTGA